GTTGTGTATTAATAAAGTGTGGGGTGCCTGCCCGCAAGGGCAAGGCCCTATGCACTTGTGGTCTTACGCTCAACCATGTATGGTGAGGGTTTACTGAAGCCCACCCGTCTCATAGTGTGCCAAGCTGGTTGGTTCTTTTGAAACTAAATTCCAACTTTGATGCTGTATCTAGCAGAAAAACGAATAAAGCTAACTGTGGAACAAATTGTGAGTGTAATAAAAGTGTTTTATAAACTGAAACTCAGTATTGTAGTCTGACTACCACACACTCCTCTCACATGAAATTGTAACTATCCTCACACATGTCTGATTTTGATGAGTCTCCAATCTCCTTGTCCTCTGAAGGTTACGCCTCCCAGCCACCGCTGACTTCAGGTGCAAGCAGTCCTCAGCCTCCTGACAGCCAGGCATGTCACAGTCAGGCCCTATGCTCCTGTGTCTGAGGTTGGCTGAGACCCAGCTGCTCCTTTAACTCTCCTGATGCACTGAGTGAGCCAGGCGACTGTGGTGGTGACCTTCGGCACAACGGAAGATGGCTTTCAGCTAGTTCAGTCCCAAGGTTCTTAGCTTGGAGAGGCCAGAAAGGCAGAAAAGACTTAAGACAATCAACTTCTCAACCTGAAGCCCCACGAAATGAATTATACTTCCTGAAGGCCATCACCTGAAAACCGTGTTATCTCCTAGCTCTGAACAATACCGGAGACAAATATCCACTGAAGGCTGAGTTTCAGTTCAGGAGGTCGGCGTGCAAGATCATATTCTGATTAGAAGCGCGGCCAACAGTCTTGAGATCTCGCCACCAATAGCATAAGGGAATAACCATGGAACAATCATCTAACCACCGGAAACGAAAAGCCATAATATCCGCAGAGGCTCGGCCAGTACGAACCCTACACTACAAGAAGCCCATCCCTACATCAGAAAGACCCGAAGCAACTCAGGGGCAAGAATGCACAGTCATTACGAACTGGGGCAACAGGAAAAGACCCACCCAAGACCATTTGTTCAGGTCATTGGTGCCTATCAGACTCTGAAAAATTAACACCTCTATCAGCCCTAACCGGAGGTGTTTCAACTGTCAGCTTTTTGGGGCCATGTGGCGGTGCGCCTCTATTCTAAGCAGTGGTGTGGTCTCTGCTCAGGGCAACACATAGACTGGTTTGCAGGGATACAGTTGCTCAAGGGTGTCATCATGGTATAATGCTGCGACAGTTGGGTTCCTGTATTGTACCCTAACTGTTCCTCCTTTGGCGCGGACTGCCACCCAGGCAGGTCTCAAGAAACACTAATGCTGCTGGGGTTCTCCCTCTGACTTCAGCCCTGCTTCTCCCACCGCTCAGGATCATCATCATAAGGTCATCGAAGATCAGCGTGGGACCTTTAGATGTTATGAAACTTACAACAGGTTAGCTGCCAACTCACTCTGCACATTGAAGGAGATGTTGATTTGAAAAATGAAATTAAAAACTCAAGCTCGGTTTACAGTCTAGCTTTAAATGTTTGGGGCCTCTTGTGATCACTAAAAACCAGCACAGTGCATAACTGGTAAACAGTCAAACTGAGGAGCATTCGGTGTCTGTAACAGATGTGGAGCTCAAGACCCACAGGAACTAGTGTCCCAATGGAGGAAATATGATACTGGTAGCAGTTCTGATGCTCTGTGGTTGTGGTCAGTGAAGATGAACAAGCACAAACAGAAAATGGTGGTGATGTCGGTGTAACAAAATTGTATGTTATTGTCTGCCAATGAATACAGCAATTGTTGGGCCGTATGCGTGCTCCAGAAATGTTTCAAAAGGTTAACTGGCCTGCTTGCCGCCGGAAGGACGAATAGCGCGGAAGAAAGTATAATGCTGGCACGCTTGTTTGCTTCTTTCCGGATCATTCGTAATGGCCGTGTTATTTGAATAGGAATTCCGTACGACATAATGGCCAGTGTTAATACCGAGCAAGGATACTAGGTGAAGGTGATGAGTTGGAACATCTCATCCTTAGAAAGATACTGACTTCTGCACCACAAAGTTGTTGACTGAGGGACATCGATATTGTGTGTGTATGCAGGAGGTGTCTCACACCTAATGTGGCCCCGCAGTCTGGTGTGGTTCTGCCGTCCTGGTTTACTCACATGTTTTGATGTTGTGTTGAAGTGCTCTCATGTCCTTTGTAAGACTGCCAACCTTCAGTACCATGGGATCCTATATCACTTGGGCAGCTTCACTCAACGTGTAAGCATACCTGTGTCCTCAGGTCAGCTATTTTAGATCTCTGAACTGGGCCACTGTCCTAATGGGTGGCCTGGATCTGAGCTCATGAGGGTTGGGTGACTCCACC